AGAAGTTGCTACGGTGCGCTGTGCGTCTTTGCACGATGACGTTATTACGTTACCATGACGCCAAACTCTTAACTGACTGGCCTAAATATGTCACATTTGTTTATCACATCTAGACATTTATCACATGTAAACATTATCATATAACCATTTATCATATGTTTGATCATATTTCATATATGGCCTACTATATATCATATGTAAATGTTTTAAATTGTTAAAAATCAATGCATATTTTAATAAATAAAATAATAATAAATAAGCCTAACTTCATTTTTTTCCTTCCATGTCAATAATAAGTTTACAATCTAGCCATTTCACATTCATTTTTGATTAAGCACTTTGTTTTTATCACGTTTTCACTTCATTAAGTCAAACCAAAGCCCTTACTGTAAATAGAATGAGGAACATATTTATTGAATATGGCTAGATTTGATATGTACAGATTAACTTTGTGTACATTTTGACACATCAGGTAAAAATATATGTGTAAAAAGCATTTTCACAATCAAACACCATAGTACCTACGACATAGATGAACAACAAAATGTCAAATACATTAAAATGTGCAGATTACTCCATAGCTTTCTTTCGTTTAACGATTAAAACAAACGCTGTATGATCATATAAAGTCAAAATAATACAATAATTATTTCATTTAAAAAGAAATATGTGCATTTGGCGACGCATTAAACTTTTAACATACAAAAACATCCCTCTTCACAGGCCCTTGCCATCACAAACATCTTATGCACACAATAGTAGATAAGCAGCCAGCACCAAAAAAAGGGAAAGAAATCAAATAAAAACACTGCTGTGCTGGAAACATCTCTGTTTGTAGATTAAATACTAGAAGCACATCATGTTGTACCCAAAACATCATTATTGGGGGAAGTACCAAATGTTTGCATGGTGAACAGAGAAGATATAATAGACATTTTCCACAATAAATGAATGGGAGACAATGGAAGACGCCAGCGGACTCACTTTAAGAGACTCTGAGGGCAGTATATTGGTCAATGAGCTTGGCTTTCCCTTTTGTAAAAGCGCATTGAGCTCTTTTAGCTTTGGCTCTGAAAAATGTGGCCAAGTGTTTTATGTTCCTGCCAAGAAACAGTTCATAGACGAGAAAGAGAGAGAGAGAGAGTCAAGTTACAGGCACTGCTGATACACAATCCCACGCAAAACCCACAGACACATACAAATATCAAAAAATATAGAGCACACATAAAAGTCACATGACCATGGGTTTGGATTTCTGAATGAGCATTAAAAAGACGGCTACACTGCAATAAAAAATGATCAATTACTTAATTTTTTTGTCTTGTTTCTAATCCAAATATATACAAAATCTTAAATCAAGAAGTGTTTTCTAGACAAGCATTAAACACTGTCTTGTTTTAAGAAATAATTAACCAAAATTAATTGCGTTTTTTTTTTAAACAAACAAAATGGCAAAAGAAAAAACAAGATTATTTTGCTCGTTTTAAGGTACAATTCGCGTAACTGTGGCATAATATTTCTTAAAACAGTCCCAGCAGACACCGGATGTCAACATGACGTCAGATTGATGTTGTACCCCAACGTTGTGGGGACGTTGCATTTTATTTGGAAATGAAAATCAGGCTGAAATCAGAACCCAACGTGAGGCTGACGTCAATGTCCAACCTAAAATCAACTAAATATGATAGTAATGTAACGTCTAATGATGTTACAGCTTGACATTGTGTGGACGTTATGACTTCTATCAGACGTAGGGTTTTGGTTGGCATATCTGACGAATAAACGTCAGTATTTGACGTCAATTGGTTCACGATGTTGGCTCGACGTTGGATTTTGGTCACTTTCTAACACAACCTGAAATCAACCAAATATCAACGTCTAATGATGTTACAGCTTGACGTTGTGTGGACGTTACCACTATGACATCTATCAGACATTGGATTTTGGTTGCCTTCTCCAACGAATAAACGCCAGTATTTGACGTCAATATGACGTTGGTTTAAGCTGTTGGCTTGACATTGGATTTTGGTCACTTCCCAACACAACCTAAAATCAACAAAATATCAACATCATTTGATGTAGACATTGGACATAAAAAAACGTTTGTCCTTAGATGCTGGCTAGACATTGAATTTTGATCACTGGACGTTACAACCTAAATCTAACCCTAATATTAATGTCTTTTACGTCATAAGATATTAATATTAGGTTAGATTTAGGTCTTGAAGTCAAGTGAGCAAAATTCAATATCTAGTCAGCCTCTAAGGAGAGTGTTGTGCCTGCTCAGGAAGTTTTTGCTTGTCTAGAAAATGCTTCTTGATTGAAGTTTTTAAGAGATATTTGTACTGGAAACAACCATAAAGTCAAGTAAAAAAAAAGCATTTTTTTGCAGAGTAGATTAAAGGGACAGTCATTGAACAAAAATACATTTTCTGTTACTTTTCTCAATCAAAATGATGTTTAGAAGGTTGTTGCTTCACATCTGGGGAATGTATGAATTTATTTACCTTATTTATTTAATTTATTTTAACTTATTTTTTAAATTAATTTATTTAACATTGAATGCAATGTAAATAAGATTGGATAAAAGTGTCTGGCCAATGCACACATGTAAATGTTTGTCCTGGAGGTTCAGTTTCATAAAACCAACCCGTTGCATTGAGCTGATATTAGTCTTGTTTTCCAGTATTAAATATCTACTGTAAACTTTCTGAAAGAAAGATGCACTTTATAAGCTCATTACTATCTTGAGAAATAACAAAAATACTTTGTACCATCATCATGGTAAAGACAAAAGAAATAAGTTATTATTAATTATTTTTTCAAGGTACTCTGTTTAAAAAAAGTGTTGAAAATAAATCTGTTAAACTTGGAAAATATTGATTTGTTCATTTTCCCTCAGCTTAGTCCCTTATTTATCAGGGCTTGCCACAGCAGAATGAACCGCCAACTTATCCATCATATGTTGTACAAAGCGGATGCCCTTCCACCTGCAACCCAGTACTGGGAAACTCCCATACACACTCATTCATTTCACACACATGCTCATACACTACGACCAATTTAGTTTATTCAATTCCCCTATAGCGCATGTGTTTGGACTGTGGGGGAAACCGGAGCACCCGGAGGAAACCCACGCCAACATGGGGAGAACATGCAAACTCCACAAAGAAACACCAACTGAACCAGCTGGAACTCGAACCAGCGACATTCTTGCTGTGAGGCCACAGTGCTAACCACTGAGCCACCGTGCCATCCCTTAGTCTTGTTTTCCAGTATAAATATCTACTGCAAACTTCCTTAAGAAGCTCAATACTTGTATCTTGAGAAATAACAGAAATATCATGTACCGTCATCATGGCAAAGACAAAAGAAATTAGTAAGAAATTAATCATTAAAATTATTGTTTAAAAATGTGTTGAAAATAAATCTATAAAACAGCACTTGGGAATATTAATAAAATAGTTAAAATGGGATTGGAGGGAGAATAGTAACTGTATAGATAAATGCAGCAAAATTAAGTGAGCTTAAGCTTAAAACACGATGAGGTTAGATCAAGAAAACTGCTGTTTTGTTCTTGTTATAAGCAAAAACTGTTTCATTTTATAAGATATTTCAATTATTTTATTCTTCAAATTATTTTACTCTTAAGATACTGTATACTGTTTTAAAAATGCGAGTTGTTTTAGTAGTGGAAAACAAGTAATAAAATCAATGTCGCGGTGCAGCTTGGAGAAGAATAAAACAACAACTTTGCTTTGTCCTTCTCTGAAATAAAAAGTGAGCTACAGTTGTGCACCACAGAAAGAGAGTTAAACAGGATTGGAGCGAGATGAGAGAGAGCAGATGATGACAGAATTTTCATTACGTGCTGAACTGCTCTCTTAAACCGGTTTTAAATGGTCTACCCGTAGCAGGAGCTGTAACCTGAGCTTTGTTGTGTTATTGTGGAACATGTGCGCGAGCAACAGCCCATTAACCTGTGCGATAAAAAACTAAAGAGCTGAACAGAAGTGTTCTCCACCTGAGCTGCTGAAACCAAAGACAAAGGTCAGACTCACATCCACACACACTGGGTCAAAAACCAATGCGTCCACACAGAAACAAGCACACGCTGTCTGGAAGTGAGAGGAATACAGTCTTGATGGGAAGCATTAGTGTAAAATGCACGCAGTTTACTTTGTTAACACATGCTCATGATGTTTTGTTCTAGCTTTCATTAAAAAAAGCACGATCCACTCTGACTGACATCATCTAATTATTAAGCTCCTCCAATCACCTGTCATATAATTGTTGCTATATTAATTGCTATCCAAATGTTGTTTACGGTGAGGCAGTGGCGCAGTAGGTAGTGCTGTCGCCGCACAGCAAGAAGATCGCTGGTTCAAACCTCGGCTCAGTTGGCGTTTCTGTGTGGAGTTTGCATGTTCTCCCTGCCTTCACGTGGGTTTCCTCCGGGTGCTCCGGTTTCCCCCACAGTCCAAAGACATGCAGTACAGGTGAATTGGGTAGGCTAAATTGTCCGTAGTGTATAAGTGTGTGTGTGGATGTTTCCCAGAGATGGGTTGCGGCTGGAAGGGTATCCGCTGTGTAAAAACTTGCTGGATAAGTTGGCAGTTCATTCCGCTGTGGCGACCCCGGATTAATAAAGGGACTAAGCCGACAAGAAAATGAATGAATGAATGTTGTTTACAAAAAAAGTGTAAATAGCGTGTGTTTAGTAAGTGCAGCTCTTTAAATATACTCCATAGTTTATTCATTTTCTTTTCGGCTTAGTCCCTTTATTAATCTGGGGTCAGCACAGTGGAATGAACCGCCAACTTATCCAGCACGTTTTACTCAGCGGATGCCCTTCCAGCTGCAACCCATCTCTGGGAAAACCCCATATACTCTCATTCACACACATACACTACAGACAATTTAGCTTACCCAATTCCCCTAAAGCACAAGTGTTTGGACTGTGGGGGAAACCAGAGCACCCGGAGGAAACCCACACCAACACTGGAAGAACATGCAAACTCCACACATAGAAATGCCAACTGACCCAACCGAGGCTCAAACCAGTACCCTTCTTGCTTCTTGCTCATCACATGAGTCCTATACTAATGTGTTTTCTGTTGATTGGGATTCACCAGTATTCAATATGATCATACAAATACATGTATAAGGCTAAAAACATACTAATTCCTGATGGATAAAACTGCATGTTACTGTATCTCATTTCAAGAACTAATAACACAGATTTTTTAGTATTTGGGAAGTATTTTACAAGTTACATATATATTCCCTGATTCCTGAATTCTGGGATGTACTGCATGCTGTGAGACGAGTGAGATCTGTTTCCAGCTTATTACTGGTAGAACAGGGACTGCTAAATTGATGAAGGAATCAATTGTGAAGTAGGGGGAGATGGAAAGTGTCACATGAGGAAGGATTGAGAAGTATGATGGGTTAATGGGGGTTTCAGTAGCAGAGAGCTGAGGGTTGAGGGGTTGTAACCTTACCATACTCTATTAAGTACGTTCAGTGACACATGCACACACACACACATACACGCACAGACATACTCACACTAAATTCTGATTAGTGTAATGCAATCTCGATATCAGAACTATGACATAAAAATTAAGTTGTTTCAATTGGAAAATATATTTAAATCATTGATATTTGTTGTGCTGATTTCTTTTTAAAATTTCAGTAATAACAGAAACGAACAAGCAAGAGCTATAATGCCACATAATTGTACATAAAATGAATAATGTGTACAAATTCCAAGATTTTATTGCTATTAAATTAACATTTGTTTCCTATTTGTGGATATTAAATTAAAATTTGTTCCCTATTTGTGGATATTAAATTAAAATTTGTTCCCTATTTGTGGATATTAAATTAAAATTTGTTCCCTATTTGTGGATATTGAATTGAGATTTGTTCCCTATTTGTGGCTATTGAACTAAAAGGGTTCCCTTATTTTAATGAAATAGCGTTTACATAATTAATAATCCAACTATATTAAGACAACAAATGGATTTGTGGCCTTGATTTAACTAAAACAGAAGAACTAATTAATAAAAAGTGGTCAAGAGTTAACAAAACAAAGCAAGCAAATGGCAAAAAGGTCTCACTAGTTAACATTCTAGCTAATAATGATCAGTGCATTTGTTGCAGCTTTATATATTTTTGTAACTGTTACTGTATTGCAATTGTTCACTTTTAATTCACTCATGTGCATTAAACAGACAGATGCCATTAGATTAATGCACACTTTAGTGTTTTAGTTATTAGTTCACGTCAACTAATGGAAGCTAAATGATGAATGCTACAAAAGAAATTAATAACAAATGCTTAACTTGTGCATGGCCATGGCATGTATTTGTCATAAGTGTTGGGCTCTGCGTTAAAAACATCACAATGAAAATTATATTTATGGAGCCAGGATCAGGCATCCTTCTGAAAGCTAAATATTGCATATTTTTGTGTTTTGATTTTGCGGTGAAATGTGACCCAGACGTGTTCCTGACAGGCGTACTGAAATTCACCCGCCTTCATGTTCTCGGCACACTTGACAAAAACATGATATGTAGGTCACAATATGGAGGAAACAGCCCTGTCTCAAAGCCTCAGGCGCCTGTCATGTGATTGTCAAGAGAACCTGCCGCACCGTCAATGAATTCAACACAAACACACACACTCACATTGGCTTCGGTGGTTTATGAGGACTCTCCATAGGCTTAATGTATTTTACACTGTAAAAACCATATATGTTGCCTTACCCAACCAATACCTCTAAACCCAACCCAAAATACCCTGTTCAGTATGATTTTTTTCGTGTGTGTTTTGCATTATGAGAACACAAGGCATGTCATGACAAACCACTGTGTAAAACCTAGGTCATACCCATGCCATTATACAAATCTATGTCCTCATAAACCACCACAACCAGCCTTAAAGCCTCAGGCGCCTGTCATGTGATTGTCAACAGAACCTGCCACACTGTCAATGAATGTGAACACACACACTCACAATGGTTTTGGTGGTTTATGAGGACTCTCCATATGTTTGATGTCTTTTATACCGTAATAAACCCGTATTATATTGACTTTCCCCACCATAATCTCTAAGCCCAACCAAAAATACACTATCAAGTATGATTTTAGTTATTTTGAATTATGAAGACACAAGGCGTGTCCTAATAAACCACTGCAGCAATGTAAAACCTAGGTCATACCCATTTCATTATGCTAATGTATGTTCTCATAAACCAAAAACACCAGCACAAAACACACACACACACACACACACACACACACCCACACACACACACACACACACACACACACACCACACACACACTCGTTTTGGTGGTTTATGAGGACTCTTCATAGGCTTAAAGTATTTTATACTGTATAAACCACTTATTATATTGCCTTACCCTACCAATACCTCTAAACCCAACCCAAAATACCACATTGAGTGTGATTTTAGGTGTTCTGAATTATGAGGACACGAGGCATGTCCTAATAAACCACTGCAGCATTGTAAACCCGAGGTCATAACCATGTCATTATACAAATGTAAGTCCTCATAAACCACCAAGTAATAAATCCATTTTGCAGTGCACACACACACACAGACATGTATCAAAAGAAAAGAAAAGGAGATGAATATTAAACAAAGATCTTCAGTGTATACAAAGATTTCATAATAGAGTAAAATCAAAAACCTCTGTCCATCTCCATTCAGTATTATTGCTGTGATAAACATCCAGTTTTGATCTCAGGAGTAGAAGAGTCTGTTTTTCTCCGGGGTCTGCAGACGGTTGAGTCGGGCCAGTTGGGTGGGCGATGGAGGCACATCTTGCCGAAATGGGCCTTTGGGTGGAGTAGGAATCGGTGTTTGGTTTGGGGTTGGTTTCTCCTCCATTGTTGGCAGCTTAGTTTTAGCCTCCTGCTCTTTGCGCCTCTGTTCTTGCCTTAGCAGCTCCTGGGTTTCCAGCAGGACTCGGGCATTCATGCCAGTGGGGGTGGGACTCAGGTACCCGTTGGCGGTCCGGGACCCCTGGTGGATGGAATAACGTGAGTTTTCTTTGGCCGTCTGGAAGACATCGCCAGGAGGATAGACTTTCTCCCAGGAGTCTTGAGACACGGTGCTGGGGTTTTTACGGGGTTGTCTGTGAGGAACAATGAAGAAGCGGTCAGATATGGAAAAAGTCCCCGTATAATATTTTAACCAGATGTGGAATGACATGCAATAAAATGTTCCTGTTTCCATGTGAATGGGTCAGAGATGAGACGTCCCATTTTGGTGCATCAATTAAGTGATTTTATATGCATGGAAAGCATATTAAATGCAAGTAAAGTGTGTACTTCAATGCGTGAAATCTATTAAACATGTCAAATTATAGGTGAAATAATGTTCCATTGACACATACTGTATATACTTGCATTAAAATGAAAGGACATCACAGTTTCCTATAATCAGAGATTCTGCCCTAACTGGCAGCAGGGGTGAAATTTTTCAATTGAAACAACTGTATAGAATCTATGACATGGAAATAGAGATTAACCATACTGTTGTAAAAAAAAAAAACCTGTTGTCAATTGGAACTATTAAGTTGACTCAACTTTATTTTAAAATATGCACATAGTCAATTTACTCAATTTTATAAGGCAAGGAGGTTTACTCACTTTTTAAAGTCAACTAATCATTTTAAAAGCAATGGGTTCACTCCCTTTATTGAAGTAAACTCAACGAATCACTTTAAAAGCAATGTATTAATTCACTTTTTTAAAACGTAAATCAACTTTAAATGCTTTAAAAGCAACAGATTTACTCACTTTTGAAATGAACAAATTTTTTTAAATCAACAGATTTAATCACGTTTTAAAGTAAAGTCAACTAATCGCTTTAAGAGTAACATATTTATGCACTTTTAAAAGTAAACTATAATTACTTAAAAAAGATTACTAATCTGTTTAGTGGAAAAGATGGGGTGTAGTTCCTATTCTGCTCTTAAAACAGTTTGGAGTAAAGAGCTAAACTGTGTATTTAGCGAAGAACATTGCAAAAAAAAAAAAATTTGCAAAAACTGTAAAGTAATGCCAAGTAATCTAGGAGTGCGCTTAATACAATTTAAAAATTTGAAATGTTTTAATTGGACTTCGAGAAGGCTTTTCAGGCTTGGGTTGAAGGACTCTGCTCAATACTGGAGATGTGAAAGAGAGGAAGGAGACTTGATGCATGCCCTATAGTCCTGTTCTAGAATTCAGGAATTCTGGGCTAAAGTGCATAATTACATTCAGGATGTTTCAGAATGCTGCTTTTCATTTTGTCCTAACATATATGTACTCAGAGACCTGTTTGTGTTGGGATCTGGTGTAAAAATGTCTGAATAGATTCAAATAAGTATTATGATTGGAAGACAAATCATTATGAGGGGATGGCGTTCAGCAGGTCCACCATCATTTCAGAAATGGGTTACAGAAGTGGGGAAGGTGGCAGCATATAAAAAAATGACATATAGATTACTAGATAAATTGGATGTTCATCAGAGAAGATGGGGAAACTATTCTATTCTATTATTCTACTAACTATTTTTACTATTATTATTACTATTACTATTATTTACTATTTGCTATTATTATTATTGTTCTGTATGTGTGTTTTTTTATTTATTTTTGTTCTTGAGTCTTATGTTATTTATCTGTATTTACTTGATTTATGGTAGCAACATCTAATGACAGCCACTGCCACTGTTGGGGAGGGGAGGGAAAGGTGAATGTTAAAAGGAAGTCCAATTTGTAAACTAATTGAACTGTTAAATTGTTGAAGAAAATAAAAATCACTTTAAAAGCAACAGATTTACTCACCTTTTAAAAAAGTGAAGTCAACAAATCACCCTAAACGAAATGCATACTGATGGTCACTATGTAGAGGGCCGGTACAAATTGCCTTGCGGCCAAGTTCGGCCCATGGGCCACCACTTGAATAGCCCTGGTATAGAGTATTTGGCCAGTAAACAACCACCTAGCACTAGCACTCCCCCTAGCATCATGCTAGTGACAGCAAACACCCCTTATTTCAGCATCAACTGCTGAATTCTTGACTATACTACAACATTTGTGCATCTCCTTCTGAAAGCTGTGCTCTCTTGTGTGAGCTGATGTGTGAAATCTCCACAGAAGTGCATGCGCACACACACGTACACACATGCTTTTAAGATTGCAAAGCCGCTGAGGTGTGAATGTGGCTTCATTTATCCGTGAAGCGCAGGGATGTGGCATGCTAGCTCCTTCACATTCCCACTTAATGGATCCTAATAATGGAGCGGTGTGAAGATGGACACGGTCTGAGTATGGCTGCCATGCTGACAAAGAAATTTGTAGGTTTGATATTTCTGTTCTTCTGGGCGAGATGGGGATCCAACCCGGGCCGTCTGTCAGATGTTTAGCAGTTGATAGGCTGGTGTGGATGAACACTGAGGGAACCTGTTATTCCTTCTCTTGATGTTAAGTATGCTAGAAGGCCACACAGTGAGTGTTTAACTGTTTATATACCACACAGAACTGGGTTTATATGTGTTCTGAGGGCCGTTTATTCAATTCACCCATAGCGCATGCACTTGGACTGTAAGGGAAACCGGAGCACCCAGAGGAAACCAATGCCAACACGGAGAGACTGAGAAACACTAACTGACCCAGCTGGGACTTGAACCAGCGACCTTCTTGCAGTGAGGACACAGTGCTAACCACTGAGCCACCTTGCCGCCCGTTCTCAGGCAAACAGTGTGCAATGGATTTGGCATGGTTTATAGTTCAAGGTTTAAAACAAACACCTGACAGTAAATGCGTGCAAATATAATAGTAATTCTAGCTCCATCAAGCACCGCTGAATCTTGTAGTTTCATGCACTACGGCTCACATTGTTTGGATGATAAATAAAAATCAATGGCTTTGAAAATGAATACACATTACATTCAAGACTGATTGTGTAAAGCATATTATTTCAAGTCAAACGGCGTGAATCAAGTATTTTCAGCGAAATTGACTGGACGCCAATAATACTGCGGTGATTACAGTTCATTGTTGCGTTTCATTTATCAGTAAGTTGCTTTTTTTGCAAGCCGTAAATATTAAAAGCAGATCCCAGAAGAACACTGAAATACTGAGACAGCACACGGCACATTTCACAAGAGACAATGGTGTTAGAAAGAAAAAAAAAGATCAATCTTCATGCTCTTACAGTCACACATGCACACCTGTTATTGAAACGACAGCGAAAATGAGCAAAATGCTAATTTATTATCACTCTGACAGAAATAAACCCATCTTCTATGTAAAAAATAACGGGTATGAGACAAAAGGAGGCTTTATGTTGTAAATAATCTTGTGTTTCTAGACCAATTAGTTCACATCACTGCATTACCAGGAGCCACAGGTATTAATGCTAGTATCATTTCTTTTTTACTTTCAAAGTGCTGGTAGTCACAAAAAACAGTTATAGCTGAAAATAGGGTTGGGCCGATAGAGGATGCTATCGTCCATCGGCGATGGCCAATAGACAACACAATGCTGAGCCGGCATCACCAATGCTACGCACCGTCCCCATTGCAAACCCGCTCGCGAAAAATAGACACTCAGGCCCCGTTTACACTAATACAGCTTAGTGTTAAAATGGCATTTCAGAACAAAAATGATCCACATCCACACCATGTTTTACAAAGCATTTCTGAACAGCCCTCTGTCCGCTGAAAACGCACACACACAAACAGACACAGCCACATGCTGTCATGAGCTCCAGAGAGCAGTGCCATCGGACAGTTTATCAATGTACCACTGGATTGTGTCTGACTATAGTTATTAAAAGTGATATTCAGACATCTCAAGTCTCCCGGAAGTTCTGGGAGTCTCTATGCATTTGCGGGACACGAGTGATAATCTTCCGGAAATCGCGCGTCTCCCTCCTGGTCCTCCGATAAGTCGCGCATCTTTATCACCCCCGCATCCCTCCTCGCTCTTCAGATAACCCCCCCACCACCTGCTTTTCACATGATGATGATGCCATCATCCATAACGATGTTTCACATTACACATCGTAAGATGCCAAATTGGTCGACATCACTCAACCCTAGCTAAAAAGCTTTATGTCTGTATGTAATGTTCATAAACACATCAATTAACATTTACCCTCCTTTACTAGACAAACAGCAAAACATGAAGGCAAACTGAATTTGCTCCAAGTCGTTTAATCTGATTTATGCTTAATTTAATGCAGGGGTGTCCGAAGTCGGTCATGGAGGGCCGGTGTCCTGCTGACTTTAGCTCCAACTTGCTTCAACACACCTGCCAGGATGTTTTTTGTATATCTAGTAGTTGTATTGTGTAGAACCTAACACTTTTTCCAGTGTTATTTTGATTCAAGGCCATAAGGGTACATTATTATTATTATAACCAATATGCGCATATAAATTAAATGAATAATAACTTTATCAATATTCCATGATATAAGAAAGCCCTTAAGGTTAATGCCAGAAAAAGAGCCAATATTTTGAGTCTCTCCCGCAACAGATACAGTATTTATGAGTATCAGGAACGCAGCTGGTGTGCATCACAGTTTATCAAAAGGACAACAGATAAACACACGGAGAACAATATTATCTCAACACCTTGAGTAATGTTTTCTATTTGTTAACAGGAAGCAGAACGAGAGTCTGGAACGTGGGACTCGCATCTTATCTGGCGGAGTGTTGCCGTATTAATATAACGCGCAGCTGTTGCATGAAGTTGCGCTCTGTTTCACATGACTTCCATTACTGCTAATCAGCGCACACTTGGCTTATCTGTCTCCTTTTCTCTTCCTCCCTTTTCTTTCTCTCTAATCCACCTCCAAAAAAAGAATCCCTTCATTAGCCAAGTGCTAAATCTAAACCCACAGGGTAAACACACGGTCAGAGCACCGTAAAGCTTGCTTATCCATAGATGTGATATGACTGGTGAAAAAAAAACAGCTTTTCGTGCATTTTACATTACTAATAAGTAGCGCCAGGCAGAGTCTGCAGGTAGATTATTGGATTTCCTTGCAGAATTTTGTAACAAAATATTAATAATAATAATAATAATAATAATAATAATAGTAAAAATTTGTGGATTTCTGTTCAATGATTTTGAGAGT